ACCATCAACCATGGATTCAAAACCCATTGTTGTATCTGTACATCTTCCTGAGGCTCAACTGATGGGCGTCCCATGTTCAACAAATAGATGTATTACAAATAAATATTACTGTTGACCAACATTTCGCAATTATTTCCTTCATTTATGTTCTGTGTCACTCACAATAAATATATTGTCCAAAATCAATAAAGGAATACTACTTTAAGTAAAACAAGCGTTGTGTTTTGTTTCTTATCTGTTCGGTATTAGTCCCTCTCCCAGGTCGACCGAGCCTTGAGTGGGTACCGGGTGCAGTCCACGGAAAGTAAAGGCTGCCGGCGTGATGCTGACCACATCACCCATCTTGTGCCGATTGGTCTATAGAAACATAGGTCTAGCCCTATATGCCCTATACGCCTAAAGGCGTAGAAAAGGGACATTTATTAGTCCCGGCAAACAATATTTTGCAAATCATCATCAGTCATCATCAGTTCTCGTTATGCCTAGTGGCACATGAGACTTCAGAAAGGACTTTCCATGCTTTCCTGTCCTGTGAAATCTTCAGTGCAGTTTTCCATGTCAAGGATGCCGCACTCAGGTCACATTCCATCGTTCGTCTCCATGTTGTTTTTGGGCGCCCCTATTTTCTCTTACTTGGGCGGTTTGGGCCGTTTCAAACATGGTTCTTACATTCCAGAAGCCAATTCTTAATTTGGTTTTGACATCCAGCAGATTTGTTTTTCCATCATAGGCTTCCTTTCGGCTTTCACCCATGTTGTTCATGCTGACAGAGGGACTCTGTCACAAGACCACCGGACGTTTAGAGCACTTAATGAGAATCTATCTACAGCAGTGTTTCTCAAACTGTGCGCCGCGGTGCTCTGGGGAGCTGCCATTTCTTCACAGGTGCGCCGCGAAATATTATAAAAGCTTCATAATTAATTAAACCAAGACATGAAGAGTCCTTCTTTTACTTGGGCTAGAGCGCTGTGGAAAAAATTCAATTGAAAAAAAAAAAAGCTGAAACACTGGTCTATAGTATTTCAGCTTCAAAACCCCCTAGTTTCTTTCTAAATGGCTAAGAGATAGTCTATGACTCACATCACCTATGCTGCTACAGACAAGATGCATACTTTGAAAATGTTGACTTTGCTGAAGCTTGGCCATAGATTTTAATGTTGCTGAATCTTTATATGAACAGCGAGTCCTCTCAGAATTTGTTTATGAGCTGGGTATTTGTAAGTAGAACCCCTGCCACACTACACATACAGCTGAATGGTTCTGCTCTGAATCAAGTTAGGGAGTTTAAATATCTAGGAAGTATGATCACAGAAGATGGTAGAATTGACAGATAAATAGAAACCAGATGCCAGAAAGCAAGTGCACTTATATACCAATTGTCACCATTAATAAGACATCCAAGCATAACTATGAGTGTAAAGAGACAGAGTATTAACAGCATATTCATTTCAACATTCGTTCGTTCGTTAGAAGTGAAAAAAAAAATGAAAAATCGAACGTCAGCGTGCCATTGGGACCTTACTTTACTTGCGTTCACGTTTCTGTGAGGTTTTGATGACGTGTACTCACACCTGCTAGTTTCTGCAACACTGTTTGGGAGTAAATGCCTGGGACGGCCTCGATCGGGGTAGGGTAGGAGTTGATTTGGCGTCGACATCATGGCTGGTTGGTTGCGGGCTGTGGGGTATTTCAACAATAAGCTACCAGTGCCAAATATGGACACTATTTAAAGCCCATATACGCAAAATCACCACCTGCGAGATAAGGTGCCTGAGAAAAGCAGCCAACCTAACCATCCGAGATCGAGTGAATAATGAAACTACCAGGCAAAATGTGGGAACGACATCTTGTACTAGAGAAACATCGAGAAACAGCAGATTAAGTGGTTTGGCCATCTTGTTAGAATGAAGCAAGATCAAATACCATCACATGCACTACATCTCAGAAGATCAGCTACAAGAGCAAGAGGACGGCCACGGAAAACTTGGATCGACAAAATTAAAGACACTACGCCGTCACGGCATGACAATAGCCAGTGGCAGTCAAAGTGCACTGGGTCGCAAATTATTCCTCCCCACGACGCTTAACGGCAGAAGTGGTTCATGATGATGATGATGATGATGATTTTGTGTGGAACATTCTGAACTATGTAGAATTAGAAAGTTCAAATTGTTTTAATTTGCAAAAAGAATACATTAATCTCATCTATCCGTTATATCGATGGGCTTACATTACTAAAGCATAAGCTAACACCAGCACAGTTCACGCTCATCAAGAGTCAACAATTATAACAGAACAAGACAATCTGAATTATGTGAATGGGAACCGAAAAGTTCGCTAGAGACTCAACCAGAAGCTATTTTTCTGATGGAGGAATCTATTGTCATTGCTGATTTGAGAGGGCAAGTTGTTACTCGAATTATCAGAGCAATCATATTTTGTCCGTAATGTGGGGGTCTGTCGGCTCTGTGGCTAAGTCGATGCGAACGCTTCGCTTCGTAATGCCGGGATGCCAGGTTCGATCCCAGCTGCGGACAATGCGCCATGCGTTGGTTTCGACAGTGGTATCAAGAAAGCCGACCGTACAGAGGGCAATGGCAAACTACTGGATGTAACTTGCCTAGAGAAACCCCACAACAGCCAGGGGCTGTTGGGGTTGGTTCTGCGACGTTCTGTAAAGGATACGCAACTAACTTTTAAAATGTGGGGTCTAGAAAACTAGCACATATGGCATGACTGGTGTGCCATAGGCGCCGGAACCTGGGATCTCGTGCTCTTTGAGAGAGGAGCTGAGTAACTGTTTTCGAAAGAACTTTGCAACAACAAAAAAATGAGTTTAAAACCGATTAGTTTTTCTTTATAAATTTCTTTGAATTGTCACCGGAGCTACAGAAATGGTGCTTTGTATGACGTTCTCGGCAAGCGACTAGTCGTTCTGCAGAGAAAGACCTAGCCATTTGGAATAAAGCCTGGTGCCAAGAAGTCGAACCACTGGATTTTAACTTTACCTTTAACTTTGAAAAGCCTAGGAAATAAATATATCAGCAGTTATATATAGTTAGTTGCGTACCCTTTGCGAGACGTTGCAGAACTAAAACCATCATTGTTTTGGCTGTTGTGTTTTTTTTGTTGTTGTAAGTAAATGTTACATACAGTAATTTTTCTTTGCCCTCTGTTCGTTAAGCGAAACCAACACAGTACAAATCGTCAGCACCTGGTATCGAACCCAACATACCGGCATTACGAATCAGATTCGCAACGCCCAAACCACAAACACCTACAGTCGTATAGGACAATGCAATTTACTCAAATCTAATAAGTCAGTATTTTATTTGTTTAACTAACTATTCTGACGATTAATGATTACTTTTAAAACACAGATTTGGGCAGGGATCTATAACGACACTAAACATGTGTAGCAGCTGGATGGTTCTGCACAACATGGTGGTTAACTGATGCATGGCAAATTAAATGGCGAAGGACCGTTTAGAGGCGAGTGACCAGTTCACGGATGGATCTTCATGGTCTGAAGAGAATGATTCTGCGAGGAGTGACCAGTGGATTAGGTCGGTGATCAAAACTCATGGGAAAAGTGAGACGGATATACAATCAAGCTGCTATTGGTACCACTGGAATAGGAACTCTGCTCTTGCTGTTGAAGATGAGGGACTGAGCGCTATGGGAATGTCCCAAGTATTTTGATCTCGATTCTTAATTAAACCTATGAAGCACACTTTTAAAGTATGTTACCATCTTGAGGCTTTTAAAAATATCAAACGCATAGGCATGTATGTTACGCCAGGCTGGAGTAGACAGTACTGGTGCCCCAGTCATGACTTCACTAGAGGCAGAACAAGGTATTCAAGATTTGTATTGTTGGTTTGTCATCCAGACTGAGACTTTGTCAGAGTAGGTTTTCAAAACTTAAAGAGAGCAGTTCGGAGGGAAAGCGGTGGAATGGAGGAATAATCCTGTTGTATCATTGTTACCTTTGTGTAGTTCACTTCATGTTTGACAAAGGCTGCCAACCAAAACGTTACGTTATTTATGTTGTTTTGTGCACGTTTTTCTGCTTCCTCGCTTGGTTAAGCTTTTTAGTCAAATTTCCCTGGAATTCCTTGTATCGTTTGAACACCACAATTGAGTGGTCTCTTTTTCTGCTTCCCTTCTATCTAGCATAGTCTCGAAAAACATCAACGGAAAATCACCACATGTGAGTGGTCTTCTATTTTTCGATCCGACCCATTCCCTTTTAAACCAAGAAGAATGGTAGCATTATATGTGCATACTCGAATCAAAATTTGTTGTCTGGTCGACATGGAACAAAACCAGCCAGCAAGTAAAACAGAGGTTCTCAAACTTCCTAATGCCAAGACCCTTTAATACAGTTCCCCATGTTGTGGCGACCCTTTAATACAGTTCATGTTCAGACGACCTCCAACCGTACAATTATTTTTGTCGCTACTTTATAACTTCAAAGAATATTTGTTTTGCGTTGGTCTTTGGCGATCCATGTTAAAGGGTCGTTCGACCCAAAAAAAGTTCGCGACCTGCAGGTGCGAACCGCTGAGCTGAAACTAGAACATACACCTACAAGGCTAAAAGCTGACCAAGAAAGAAACAGGTGGAAGAAGTAAAAGATACACTAAGGAAAAGCAATGTGGCAATAATAAATGCTATACAGAAGTAGCAACAGGTAGGGAAACTATAGCTAGCATCTCTCTGTGACACTTTACTAAGTTGGACACAAAATAGTACAGTATTATTATTATTATTAGTGTCCAATGATGGCTTTGTAAATAGCTCTTCTGTTGTGGAGTTTAAACTTCTTACCAGGAAGTACACGTTTACTGATGACGTCACTTAATGGAGACACAAACAAGACGATCGAACGAAGATAAGATTATTATTGTACGCTGCATAAACACTCAGTATAAAATCTTGCGGCTGTGACTACAACAGTTTCATATTTCGTAAAACTACATACACCAGGCACAATCATGAGGCGCTCATACATGGGTGAGTTAGGAGTAATTACATACGACGGAATTTAAGAATATTTTTAATTAATTGAAAAAAATAAAAAAATCTGCAACTTGATTATCTGATTATCAAGCCTTTGATAAATAAATAAGACTATAGTGACTATAAATAAGATTAAGACTAAGACTGTTACTTTGTTAATTAATTACAAAAATAAAATAAGGAATAAAAACAGGCACAGCCCAGCAGATGAGACCCTTTTTTTTCTATAGTTAGTTTAGGAATATATTTGCATTCAGTGTAAATAATAAATAAATATCTTGTTAGTGAAAGAGAGATCAAATTTAAAAAAAAAATGAATACCTACCTGCTACCACATCTTCACCTAGATGTTTAGTCACCTCTCTCTACTCTACACGTCTATTCAACATTCGAATGGCCTCTAGGCTTTGTAGGTTCTTTATTGCTAAACCGTAGAGTCAGCCCTAGTATAGCCACTGACTGACCCTTTCATACGTCTGGCCGAGTTAGTGCTCACTCTGAACTCGTTCCAATTTTTCAATTTATTTTATTGGTCACTGTTTCAACCATATCAGCAGCATGACTGTGGATACCAAGATGGGAACCTAGCTATGCTTGTCTCTTCTTTGGCTGCCTCGAGCATCAGATACATCAGGCATATACCGGTAGGCTCCCCAAGCTCTATAGGAGGTATATCGTTGATTACATCAGTGTCACCGATATGCCCCTACCTGAACTGCAGGATTTCATTCATTTTTTCTCCAACTTTTATCCTAGCATTTGATTCAGTTCCAATATTTCACCATATACAGTGCATTTTCTGGATCTCACTGTCACCTTGGATTCTAAAGGCCTATTATAAGCCTACTGATTCCCATGCTTTCCTTTTCTACATGTCCTCTCATCCATCTTCCTGCAAGGACTCTATTCTTTCCTCCCAGCTTCTATGCCTCCACAGACTATTCTAAGTGAACGACAACTTTCATCATAAGGCCCTTGAAATTTTGGACTTTTCTGGCTTTTAGGGTATCCTGAACATGTCTTATCTGTTGCCTTTCACCGAGCATGATCTATTCATCATACCAAGGCCCTTGTTTCCAAACCTAAACAAACCTATCCTTGTACTTACCTACCAGCCTCACAACATCCATGCCAAAATTATCCTGCCACCAGCAGGATTTTCTGGGGGGCTTCCTATAATGCCCTACAGACATGACCATAACCTCAAGGACGTTCTGTCAAAATCGCTTATGTCCTGCATCGGAGTCCCACCTCGACACATTCTCTTGCCACAGATCTGTATGCAGGACTTGCCCTATATGTGGTTTAGGGGGACACGTCTGGAATTCCTGAATGCTACATTCCATATACGTGAAGCATTCTATTGCATGAGCGGCAGTATCATCTACGCAACCATCTGCATGAAGTACATCGGTGAATCTGGTCTACGACTGGCTGACAGGTTCAGACATCTTTTGGATGTGCAGAATTGTGCCCTCAAATCATACTGTTGCACTTCATTTCCCATGATCACAAAGGTGTCTATGACATGGAGGTGATGGCCATTAAATCTAGCCACTCCAGTGAGAGTTTGCAGGTCTCTTGAAAGTCACTTTATTTTCACTTTGGGAACGCTCACACTTGTCAACTTAACACTGTAGTTTCATCTCAAATTCACGAGTTACAGCCCTAAGCATTCCTGGGTTATTTATTTAGGGCACAGCGTGTCTTTTTTTATTCTACTTGCAAGACATCAGAGTGGCTGCTTCAGGATATGTCAGTTAAGTGATTTTGTGTATTCTTGTGGTTTTGTTTGAGTTATATATGTGCTGATGTAAACTCTGTTTTCTCGTTTTGTTTGTGTTTGTTATATTGTAAAGCTCGCTGATCTACTTTTCGTTCGGTTTTATATCTTTTCAGTATATGTGACTGCTAAAATGTTGTGTTTATAATTATAATCAATTGATATACTAAAACGGTGCAACAGCTACAAAACTTCTCTAGTCTCTACCTGCCTCTTTCTCTAGTGACATCTAGCTGTACTTGAAACCATGACTTTTTTGTTTTGGTTGGGGGGGGGGGGGGAGGTGGGGAACGGTGTGGATACTCGCTACAACATGTCTATTACAGAACTAAAAACATAGTGTCGTGTAAAGTATAAAGGTGCTTTTACTGTGTACCTTTTCATATCCCTTGTAAGAGACCCTGCTTGAAACAATTGTATTAGATGTTATTGATGAGTATATATTGAATTAGATGAATTATTATCCCACTCTATGATCATATTCTACTAGCATAATAGGGAATTATTCAGGATCTGAATGAAATTAGTTTATGTGCCCCATCTCCATGGGCTGATATCCCCATGCTTCCTATACAGCAATATAACACTGTCATATGGAGATGTAAAAACTGTATACACAAGGGGACTGAATGGTGGTAGACCATGAGGCAGACCAAGAAGACGATGGAGAGATAACATCCAGACAGACCTGGAAACAATTGGTGTCACCAACTGGAAAGAGAAGGTCGACCAGAAAGATGAATGGAGGCAGGTATTATCTACAGCAGCGAACCACAATGGCTTGCAACACTGAAGAAGAAGAAGAACATACGGAAAAGTGTCCCTCACCCTGAAAAAAAATTAATTAAAACACACACACACACACATGTACGCACACACACACACTGTTATGTGATGCAGAAAAATGGACAGTGAAAAGGCAATAAGAAAGTTGAGTTGAGATGTGAGTGTACATTTATGGCCTTTTTCATAAAAAAAAAAAAAAAAGAACTACATACAGATGTTCCAGTGAAATATATGAAAACTGAGTTAGTGAAAGAAAGAATTAAAACTAAAAGGAGAAATGCATTTTTTGATCGAGATTAAATAGAATTTTGTGCGGTCATTTGTCGCACTGATTTCTTTTGGCTCGCTGTGAGCGTGGAGACCATACAAAGCAGGGTCATCACAGATGAGGTACTGCCAGTCTCTGCCACATAGGATACACACAAAAGTAGATACTTCCTTGCTATGAGGCTGATTTTATCTCCGGAGTCTTCTCTCTATAGCTATCTGCATCTGGTTTCTTTCAAAAGGCAACAATCAGTCTTTTACTTTCTGTCTCCATAGTAGTCGATCTATGATGGCCACAAAGAGGTGCAGATAGGTCTCGATTAGTGTGAGCCAAATCCTCGTGAGCTACCACGTGTCATTCAAGATCTCTGCATCCTTTCCCCTTATTGATTGACTGTTTCTTTTTTTAAAGTTTTTGTTTTTGTTTTTCCAGCAAATGGTAGTAATAACTACCAGTATCAAGATACTTCTCAGATCTTGGAGGATGAAAATCAGAGAATGGAAGATGAACTGCAAGGAAAAGTCAAAGCTCTGAAGCATGTAAGTCACACTCACACTTTTCAGTTTAAAAACTTTTTTTTTTAAATGTACCACTATTCCCTACAAATAAGACAAAACCAAAATATAAGCCCTAGCGTGATTTTAGAATGTTTGTAATGTAAGTCCTAGTCCTTAAAATTATCAGCCAGATAAACTGATTTTGTTCGTCTCTTGAAACTCATGACATTCAATTATAAATTAGTAAATAAATAACATTATTGACATTAACCCTTTTAGCAGGCGAAGTTTTTCAGATGTCTAGCCAAAAACACGGGGCATTTTTTCAGTAAATTTGGTTATTACTTTTTTTTTGGGGGGGGGGGGGGGGAACATTTCTGTTATTTGGACCCCCGTGAAATAATAGATTTATTTGAAGTATATAAATTGAAGTTCATGATTGATCTAAAAATAGAAAATTAGAATATGAATTTTCAACTTCAATGCATAAAACACATAACTAAAATCAAAAATATATTTTATTTGAAATCTTTTTATTGATCTTTGGCCTTTTTACATTTATGTTTTTCAAAACAATAGTGGTGAATTCAATAGTCAAAAACAGGTATATATATATATATATATATATATATATAGATATATATATATATATTATATATATATATATATATTATATATATATATTATTATATATATATAACTCCGGCACATCCTTTTTTGAGCTGACTGGTCCAGAAACACATGTCACCTAAACATGTTATTGCTGTTTCATATATATATATATGAAACAGCAATAACATCTTTAGGTGACTTGTGTTTTGGACCAGTCAGCTCAAAAAATGGATGTGCCGGAGTGTCAACATCTTTGGGTGGATATACCCTGAGCCATGGTTGGGTTGTGGTCTGATCAGCGTCCCCATCTGATTCCCCAATATCACTAACACTAGATCCTGCATCAGTATCAAAAGAATTAGTGTCATCACTTGATTCAAATGTTTCATCAACATCAAGTTAAGGGGCAGAAACATACGAGTCAGACATACTTTTAGCTGTTCAGGTCAGGTCACTATCTAAAAAAATTTGACAACAATTTTCACTTCAACACCAAACACTAGAAAGTCACCATGTGTAAACAGGATTCGTAGTGGACCGGGAAATCGGGAAATTACCGGAATTTTTTTCCTCCCTCTGCATGACTCTCTCTCTCTTCCCCTAACCCTTTCAGGTACCAGGTCCAGAACAGACAGGACTTCAGTTTGCTGCCCTCTACCACCAAGCCCTAAAAAAAAAATTTCAAACACTATATCAAGCTCAGGGGCCGACCAACATGAAGATGGGCACAGGATATAAGTGACTCCTTGAGTATAAAAAAGTACATGAGACAGGAGAGCTGGTGAGAGACCGAGGTTTTTTTGTCACGACAAAGGAAATGCTACATGATGATGATATATGTGCTGGTATACCAACACATGTGGCACAAATGAAGTACATTGTGTGCTCAGTACACCCTTGAACAAGGCACAAATCTTGTTTCACTATTACACCGAGACAACCTTGAAAAAAAACTAAGGAGACCTTGAAAAAGACCTTGAAAAACCTTGAAATTGATTGGTAAATTTGGCTATGAACCCTGTGTAAAGCTAATACAGCAGTGAATATAAAATAATCACTTTCAATGTTTCAAAATAGGAGATTTTTTACGGTGTCGAGGCGAAACACGATCGGGCCGTACCGTGGTTTTGGCCAGACGGCCGGTGATCAGCCATTCTGTGTTTTTGGCCAGACTGCCGACGGCCGATAATCGGTCCATCCGTGCTAAGAGGGTTAAGATGGAAATAAATGTATTTTTTGGGGTACCTAAATCGGCGTAAGATTTTAACTAGGAATTAAGACATCCTAACAAGCCCTAAAAGGTCTTTTAAAGCAAAATATTAATATGAAACCTAGTCTTTTTTTCAGGGAAACACAGTATTGACCGCTGACAGTTACTTGCAATGTAGAGAGCAAGTGAGAAAGAGAGATATGTTTGTCAAAATCTGCACTTTATCAGTTAACACCAGGAACCTTATACCATAATAACGAAGAGAATATTATCTGGAAAATGAGACAGAAAGTTTCAGTTTTCAGCACAGCTCTATGCAGTTTGTTTTTATCACTTTTTAATTGCTATTCCACATTTTTATTTAGCACACCTTTATGTATAAAAAAAAAAAAAAACTTTTTAAAATTTAATTGTTTCTTATCTCCATTTCCATCATCAAACGCAGCTGTTCCGATTGTTTGCATTTTTGTTATGTCTGATCCCTATGTGACTTTCTTATTCATTGTTGTGTAGGATTCCTGTTGATAAAGACCATACCAAACATGTGTTTTTCCCTTCCTTCATTGAGCTTTCCAGTCATAGTTTATGGTGTTGTAATTTATCTTCTTCCTTGATGCCTAGTTAAGATGATAGCCGCTCTGTGGAAGACATGGTCAGACATGCACCCTACTTGGCTCAACACTAATCACAATCAGGCACTGAAGTGAGAATTAGAGAGATTCAGGAATCAAGAATGTCCAAGAGAAACTCTAAGGAGAATGTTGACGAGAGAAGCCAAAAATGCTGGACTGGATTCCATCCATGATAAGAAAGGGGTTGCACAGGATGGAATGGAATGGAGAAACTGACTGTGAACTCAGTGTGATTTATAATGGCACAATAGGAAAATGTATGAATAGATACCTAGAACAGTGTTTCACATTGGGTGACCTATGCTCCCTTGGGGGTCTGTGAAACAAATTTAAGGGGGTTCTTGAAACACATTAAAGGAAGTTATGTACTGTCGTCCCTATGTGGGATGCAATTTTTAGATATTTTGAAGCCCCACCCTGGCTTTTGCTGTGGGCCTTAAATATGACCTAATGGCTGAACAGGATTTGGGGACCTCTTCACGGGTGGTCCTCATCCGCAGGGTGGTACCTTGTGTCATCGGGTGTTTATCGCTTGTGTGATGTCCTGGTGGGGTACAACTTACCTACCTACATTAAATATAGTCTGTGATATAACTGACTGACAACACTCAACTTTAGAATGAAATCCTTTTTTTTTTGCAATTTTAATATTTATAAATCATAATATGTTCTTCATTATGACTATTTAAAAAAATGTGGGGTCCAAAACAAACTTGTAAAAATGAGAGGGGTCCGCATGTCTTGGCTTATTGGGAACCTCTGCCCTAGAAAATTATGAATGAGATAAATACCTAGATAGCTTCACTAAGTGACCTAAGAAGGACAAGCACATAGACCTGATCCACGACTGGTGATGTCTGAGATATTGAAACACTGTTTGCTTATGCTCACCAGTATGTCATATAGTGATGATGTTTGGGGCATAGTTAATTTCTTGTTTAAATAGATTGTATTTTAACTCATCCAGTGACAAACAACACTTCATGTATTTGTTTGTTTCACTTTCCATTATATAATTCTCTGAACTTTTAAATTCCTAGTTTAACAATTCTTCTTCTTTTTTGCGTTAATCGGCTGTAAATTCAGGCAGAAAGTCCAGGTTTATCATCCACTTCTGGACTTTAGTCTTGTTCCAGAACCTAAGTGTTGCGTGTACATCCAATTTACAGATCTGACATATTTGTTTGCAGACTGTTGGTTCCTTGTCTCTCAGGAAGATGCGCTCTGACTTCGAAGTAGGCTTCTGAATAATCGACTCTTTCGAAATGCTAGTTGGGAAGGCAGTGGGTCTATTCTTGTTTTCCCCACATTGGGGCACTGAAACCCACTCAGGGATTTACCTTTCTGTGCCATGTTGTTATTTTCAACTTCTCTTTTTTACTTTCTCTTTTACCACTTCAGGTGTTGAAGCAGCTATAAGGTTCTGCTTCTTATCGGCACCTTTGTTAGACACTTTGTGGTGCGTACTGGCACCTTATTTCTAGGAGAGAAAAAAAGCCTTAGTTACAATAGTTGCTCACTGTATGTTTCATTGAATTATTTTTGTACTGTTTTGTTACATTTGTTACTTACTCATTGTGCTGTCTTTATATTCACAGTTGTCAATTAATATAGGAGAGGAGGTTCGGGAACAGAATAAATATCTAAGACAGATGGTATGTGCCTGTATGAATCTGCTAAATGTTATCATGTATAAAATAGTTGTATAATTATTGTTCTTCAAGAACTTATGTATAATGAAGTGGAAATAAAACACAAATTGAAGTGTCCTTCATTTCTAACAATTGTCTGCCATGCAAATAGTGAAAGCTTATCTTAGAACATGCAAAAACATTAACTTTCCTGAAAACTTTCGTCGTTAAAAACGTGCTTTGCTTCATTGGTTTCGACAGTGGTATAAAGAAAGCAGTGGCAAACTACTGCATGTAAAATTTGCCTTCGAAAACCACAACAGCCAAAAATGCTGGGGTTGGTTCTGCAACATCCTGTAAAGGATACGCAACTAACATAGTATTTGTGTGGTTTTGTTTGATTTATGTATGTGCTGATGAAGGCTCTGTAGCCGCACCGATCACTTTCCATTTGTGTTTGTCATATTATGAAGCTCAATGATTAAATTTTCATTTGGTTTTAAATCTTTCCAAAATAGAATCGGGGGGATTGCTGTCGAGGACAATGGGCAAGCTCAAGTCCATAACAAATGCAGGACATTGGAAAATATGGCTTTATATGGCATTGTTTGCCTTGTTTGTTTTCTTTATGTGTTGGGTGATTATCAAGTTTAGATAGTACTGATTATGTTTACTTCAAAATTATGTGAATGATATATTTGTGTGCGTATGTAGGATTTGGCTAAATGGTGGAATTCCAGGTACTACCAGATAACTGACCACATTTTGTGAGTACAGAGGTGAAACGGCGAGTCACACAGATCACTTACACAGGTTTTTGAAGTTATTGCTTCCGTATATTCAGGCGTGTATACTAAACAGTGGTCTGTATGGACATGCTTTGCGCTTCATCGTGAAATCACCTAAGAAAATCACGGCTGTAGGTTTTTTCTGTAAGCTTCAGTAAATGACACACAGTTTAGAATTTAAGTGAAGGATAATTTTATCAGTGGTTAGGCAATAATGAACACATATACTAGAAGGGATATTTAAATAATAGATGGTAAATAATAATAATACCATTTAAATCAGAAAGAGAATATTAAAATGGTGAACTGTAAAAATTGCAGAGTAGCATCTATTGTACTGAACTTGTAAGTTAATAATTTTGAAACTTTTAGTTTACTGTAACTCTCTTTCCTCCTGCTTCTTCTACTCCTCTGCTAAACTCACACCTACCAACCTTTGCAGACACTCGGATATAGATCTCTTTCTTGGTATTCATCACTATCCTGTTCTGTCATTATACATCACATAGGCCTCACAGTCTAGTTCTCCATTCCATTCTTTCCTGTGTTGTCCTCTGGGTAACATGAATGGAATCCAGTCCGTTACCTTCAGCCTTTTTCAGGAACATTGATCTCAGTGTTTCTTTTGGACATCCTGATTACCTCATTAAACATCCTGATTACCAGCATTAAAAGGGTACCAGGATGTATGTCTGGGAAAGTAAAGACGGCTGGCATAATGCTGACTACATTACCCACCTAGTGCCGATTGGTCTGTAAAAATATATGGGTTCTCTTTCCCTATGCCCGATGCACCTAAAGGCGTGAAAAGGGATCCTTACTTTTTACTGCGTGCCAAATACTCCTAAAGGCATAGAAGCAGATCCTTTAAAGTTCATTAGTTTCATTAGGTATTTGTTATTGGCTTTCCTTCCTTTAATGATTCTGAAACTTTCACTGGCAGTTCAACAGTCTGCATACAGATCTGTCAAACGAATGCACACGTAACACTGAGGTTCTGGAACAGGACTGCAGTCCAGAAGTGGACGAACAACCAGAACTTTCTGCCGGAGTTCACAGCCGATGAACGCATAGAAGAAGAAGAAGTTCCTTATGTTGTGGCCACCCCCCAACCATACAACTATTTTAGTTGCTACTTCATAACTTCAGTGAATATCTGTTTTGCGATGGTCTTTGATGACCCCTGTGTAATTGTCGTTCGACTCTAAAAAAGGTTGCGACCCACAGGCTGAGAACTGCTGCTATATTTTGATAGCACATATGCAACTGAAGGACCCCTAAACTAAATGATTGTGTTAAGTATATGGTGCTAACCTCACAGTGTTTTTTTAGACCAACTGAAACTCAGTATTTGACATGGTCAGTATCATTCCAGTCAACTTTGCTTCTCATGCATTTTTGTAGTACACATTTTAAGATTTGTCAACTCAAGAGTCTAGGTTAGCAAGTGTATCTCTGCCTTGACATTATCTTAACACATGGCCACCAAACTGGCAGGCAAGGGTGTTGTAGTCACTACACTGCCAAGATTCCCAGATTAAACACAATAATGAATTGCCTTGAGTTGTGTAATGTAGTAGTTTGCCAGTTCTTTCAACTTCTCCATGACTTTGGGCTACATCCTTAGCCATCGGCAGCTTTTTCAGTGAGAGCCCTGTACCCATTATTTAATTCATTGAGAAACAAAGACTGAAATGGTTTGGCCACCTATTGAGAATAAACCCGATGAGGCAAGCAGCAAGAGTACACAGCATGAAAATGGAAACCTAAAGAGGCAGATGGAGACCTAAGAGAAGATGTAATGAAAGAGTCACTGACGGCTTAAGATCTCACACTATCACAGCATATCAGCCAACCAGGTCTGGCTTGGCTGTGCTGCCTGTTATCTGTTCAACTGCAACGGCAACTGGTATAAAGCAGATACTGACCAAAAAACAAAAATAAAATAAATAAGAAGCCTTGCCTGCAAAACCCTTGATACAGACTTATCACAGAGGTGTGCTCCCCACTCTCTACTAGCAAAGCATTTTTTTTTTATTTTCTCAAATTTTGAGACAATATCTTGTACATATACTTGATTCTTTGGTGTTGGTTTTAGTTGAGGTTTTGAGTGATGGTACTGTGATACTATGTTTGTAAATGGTTGTACTGTAAAATATAACTTTTTTGAACCAGGATGTATTAACTTTTTTCCCAGTATGGAGTTACCAAGGTAAAGAGGTGATGGCACAATGTTTATGTTGCTCATTGACATAACTGCCTCCCTTGTTCGTGCTAAAAGTCTGTAAAAAGCTGTTTGGCCTTTCATGAATTCTACTCATTTTATTCATTTAGCTCTTTGCAAGTTTGGGAGCCCCTTTTGGGATGGGGGGGGGGGGGGGGGAGGAGAGACCAACTGCCCCTAGAAAGCATGTCGTAACATCAACTAATTATTATCCTCATTTCTTTCAAAGTCAGAAGGAATCTGCCTGAGAGGTGAGGAATCAAAAGTCTGCATTCTAATACGTCAGACCTGTGAAAGTGATGTGCACACAAAACTCAAATTATGACAAAATGATTAACCCTTTGAAGACGGAGCTTTTTTAGAAGCCTTCAGAAGTTGATTCTCATAGTTTATACACAAAAAATTATAATAAATAAAGCCTCTAATTAATATATATAAAATTATACATATTTATGTAGAAAATTGAATAAGCAGAATATTTATGAATCAGACTGAAATCTGAAATATTTTTTGAATTAACTATTCTGATCTGCATAATTTATGCAATTTTTTTTAAACATTGGGAACAAACAACCAACCTGAAAATTTAAGTGAAGTTTTGTATGGGGAAAACTTGAATAAGTCCTAACACCGGTATTTTAAGTAAGGCCCTTGGAGGCCCTTCAGACATGTCTGGCACCTGGTTCTACTCATTTTCCTGCCTCCAGCTATGTTTAAGTTGCTATGACACAAAAATCCTTTTCGCCATTTTTGGGTGTAACCCTAGAAAAAATGGACTAGAACTTTCTACCATAGTTTACGGCCAGTGAACGCGAAGAAGAAGAATTCACTTGATTCTAAAGTTTGTTCTTTGAAAGTTTGAGTCTTCATCTTACTGTTTGTTATGTAGCAGTGGGCTGGTATCCACTGATCACTGCATTTATCAAGTTTTAGTTTAGTTATCAAGGGAGAACATTGTTGTAACTTTTTCCCCTCTTTTAGCTCAGGTTTTTGGCAAACACAACAGGTATTAATTATCATGTTTTGTCTCATCAGACTGGTTTTTTTTTCTGTTACTGTTTCATTATTTGTAGCACTGACATTTTTGTTATGTCATATCTTATATTTTTTAAGTGTAGTATTGCTTTTGGGTAGTGGGATTACGTTTATTATGTGACAATTAAAGTTGTTATTGCATTCTGTTTCATAAATATGAATTCTTATGGTGAGGCTTTTTTTTTTTCAAACTTACAATAATTTTCATGTGGGGGAAAAAATTCAATTTTTGTATTGTTTAATAAACTTAAGCTTCTGCATTTCTCTTAGACAGTTAGAAATGTAGTTATGAGAATAATTGATGCTTGTTCGTTTACAGTGTTTTTGCACTCTTCTTCTTCTTCTTTTTTATTCTTATTCTTCTTCTTCTTATTCGACTGTGTTAACGTTGTTTTCCAGTCTGGGGGTGACAGTGTGATGAGGAAGTCAGGACGAGTTGTACCCAAGGACTCGAGTCACCTCATTCCTGAGATAGGCTGAGTGTATGTTTGGACCGAGGACTTAGTACCTAGACAAACGAGAGCCGCCATTCAGAACAACCCTATCTCAGAGTACCCGAGTATTTTAGGTAAATAATCCAGAAATAAAGGTACAAGACAAAACTGCCATACGACCTGAAGGAATGTATTCTATTTAATGCTTCAATTTGGATCATATTTATTGATTACTTTCTTTATATATTTTGAAAAAACAAAAAAAAAATTTTTAAGTGAAGATACATACATTTTTTAAACAAATTTATTAGTGATGCTTGTTTAAAAAAAAATGTCATTAAAGATTTGTTTTCTGGAATTTCTCTTTGGGTACCCCCTTAGAGCCCTGGTAATTTTAAGATATATTCATATATAAAGAAAAAAAAACTTGGGAGAAACCAACCAGTATTGGCGTGCCATTGTCTCCTATGGCAGGCCATTCGTGAAGTCGAGGCCAGCAAGTCTCTGAGAGGTCTTAGTAATCTTTCCACTGGTCGTAGAGAGAAGCATTATCACACAAAGCATTTGGAAAGTTTAAGAGATCTCTTATACAGAGGAGCTGCATAATCTACTGCAGATAAGTGTAACCCTAAGGAATACCATGGCAGCCAGAACCTGAATGTGACCAAATATATATATCTTCACTCTCCTGTCGATGATGAGCCCGGAAATGGAAGTGGCGAACTAGGGAGACACGCTCTCTAGTCTTAACTCTTTGAGAACATAATGAACTATCGTTCTGTTTCTCTTTGTTCCGCAGTTTGTCTTCCTTTACCACAGTGAATTTATTACATTAGGTTTCTTGTTCACAAGATTTCTTATTCTTGAAAGAAAGTTGTCTTGTCTTGGTGGAATCATTTGTCATAGTCAGAAGTGTATTCATGTCTTGTCAGACCTACTATTGTTAACATTGTTTACCAGTATTGGGGCAAAATTAGTAATGAAGATGTCTGGCCGAGTTGTACCCAAGAGCTTGTAGTAACCCTGAGGAGTCAGAGCTCGAGTCACCTCATTCCTGAGATATGCTAAACGTATGTTTGAACCGAGGACCTGGCCTTTAGACAAACGAGAGCCAACATTCAGAATACCCCTTTCTCAGACAACCTGAGGGTTTGGGGGGGAAAATATCCTGAAGTAA